CATTGCAGCTAAGCTAAGCAGACAAGACCAATCATATCATTAAGAATACTTTTTTAAATTACAATTACCACTATTCAAAAGTGATAATAAAGCAACAAAAGGCCTGAAAGGGGGATAAGTGGCACTATTTAGGCTAATGTTCACACAGCAAAATAAAATCCATAATGTGAGATCAACATCTTTCACTCTAAAAACAAATCAATCTCCCCAATATTTGCCTTAATTAGACAATGTCTGGTGTTTACAGTAGTACCTTGATATCTCTGTGGACAATCTGGTTCTCATGCAGGTATCGCAGCCCCTCCAGGATCTGTCTGGTGTAGAAGATTATTGTCGCCTCCTTCAAAGGACCCCATTTTGACCGCAGTAATGCAGATAGGCTTCCTGAAAAAATAAAGAAACAAGAAATGTCCTAAAAACATCTTGAATTGAAACACAACCAATTTATTTTGAACCAATAGATCAGGCCTCCCCAAAGTCAGTCATTGAGGGCCGCTGTCCTGCAGGTTTTAGAGGTTTCCCTTCTTTAGCACAGCTGATTAGGATGATTGCAGTTGAGCAGCTTTCAATTAAAATCAGCTGTGCTGGAGCAAGGAAACCTCTAAATCCTGCAGGACAGCGGCCCTTGAGGACCGACTTTGGGGATGCCTGAAATAGATCAAAACAATGGATCTCAGGAACAGTTTCCGTTCGTTAAGATGAGGCAACAAATTCCCTCTTCTGTAGACTCGTACCTCCAGGCACCTGCTCCATGAAGATCTTGATGTATCCATTCTCAGAAACCGAACCCAAATACTGAACAATGTTCCTGTGCTTTAGATACTTGTGCAGGGCAATTTCTTCATGAAGAGGCTGTGAGTACCTGAATTATAGAAATAAATATCAGAAAGAAATAAACGTTTTATCAATCCCGATTATGGGCACTTACAAACCTATTTGTTCAACAAGTAAAATATTGGGTTTGTTTTTTTAGAGAATTTACGGCAAAACTGTAGTTAACTTTTAGGGGGAGTGGCAGCCTAGGGGTTAGGGCATAGAGCTTGGAATCCAGAGGTTCTGAGTTCAAGCCCACTCCCACAGACTGCCTCTTTGGGTCCCTGAGCAAGACCCTTCACCCCACACTGCTCCCGGGCGCTGCACAATGGCAGTCAACTGCTCCCCAAGGGGATGAGTTAAATACAGAGAGTTAATTTTGTTGCTCTGGGCTTGAGACAGTGTAATGAAAATAAAAGCTGGAGAGAAAAAAATAAAGTGTGAATATGAATACTATATCTCAGCCAAAGTACCAATGAGAAATGCTTTTCTATTTTGAAATACAAAAAACACTATGCATACAATCCTGGGTATCATTATGACTTAAAACAAACTATTAAAGGGATAGTTCGGTATTTTTGACATGAATCTGTATGGCATCCCCATCACCAGTGTCATGCAATCACACTGAC